ACTCACCGAATTCTTTGATGAGAATATTAGAAACTAACTAACACCCCCTGCTACAAGAAGGGGCTAAACTCTTCCACGCCCCAAGCACCCGACTTCTCGGTGGGGACATTGGCTTTGGCTTGGTCGCGTTCTTGCTGCATTTCAGGTGGAAATCAATAACAAGACCAGTTTTATAGTAAAGATGTCATTTGTGTACCATAGGTATACCATAGGCTTGTGGGATTAAGAAAAAAAAAAAGATTTTTAATTTCTCCTGCAAGGAACTTCAAAGCTATATGCTGAAAGCTTGGCACATCTGTGCCCACAGTTTGGAGTACGTGTTTGTTGTTAACAGCCATGTTTTTGCGAGCGGGAAGAAGTAAGTAAAGAACGAAACTGGAGGCATCCGTTCCCTTCTTGACTTCCACCATTAAATCAGTCAACAGCACCTGTCCAAGCTGCTTCAAAGTCTACTCCTAAAGCAATATTTTCGCAGAGTCTAGGGTCAGTATCAAGAAAAGAGAAAAAGCCTAACAAACACCCCCAAACACTACCAGTACCTTATATTTAAAGGAAAAAAAAATCTATGAACACCACCCCCACTTCTCTAAAAACAACCAACCATGCAATTCATACCAAAAAAGCTATGCTATACAGACATCAAGAAACTTGCCTTCAGGAAAAGATTTGTAATATCCATCTCAGTAAGCCCAGGAAAGCTATTATGCAGCAAGTGTATTCAACCAAGGAAGTCAACTGCATTTTTGAAACAGCCACTGAAATGCTATATAAAGAATTATTTCAGGACAAAACAAAAAACCTCAGTGTACATATCTGACCAGAAACCTTTGTGACCATCTTTGCAGAAACTTGCTGGGAAATTGTAACTTAAATTGAATTATTTTCAGTTCTATTCCTTCCTCATAGTCTTCAAACAACCTCCAAACTTACTAAATTAATCATAAGAAAGATTCTGCCTTCTGATTCAGAATATACTGAATATGGAACTATACTGTTTGTATAAGGAAACGTGAACCTTCCCAAAAAAGGCAGCCACAGATCTGCACCCCCTTTTAGCAGTAACACTACCAACATCCTTGGATCCTGCTCCTGTGTTTTCACTTTATGTAGTTACACCCATACATAGCATGGTAAATTTGTAGGGCAGAACTTGGCAATATCTGTATTGCCAAGTCAGAGGCAGACAATGGGTTTTTCTTCTGGGGATACACACCCATATAAGTGGGAACATTTTAGCCTACAAAGCCATGAAAACTGCAGCTAAATAAGCAGTTTCAGATAATCTTTAAATAGAAAAAACACACTTATTGCACAGTCAACACAAGGAAACTAACAGTGTTAAGAAGCCTGATGCAAATAACATTATTAAACATAAGGTATTTCTAAAATGTAATTTCTATAATGTACTTGAACAGATTGTAGAGAAGCAACTCTTACTCTCATGCACTGCAACTAAGACAGATTCTCTTGAATAATATATACAGAAGCAGATAAGAGTCAATAAAAGCTGCCCAAGAAGCATAGTTTCTTGCTCTCTCTGCTGGCAGTTACTTTTCCACTTGTTTTTTTTCTGTGTGAATTATATTAAGTGAAGGAGTCACCTATGGGGGTTCCTGGTGGTCATGGCTGTCTGCTACAGAGCTACAGGAAAATCTACGGCCTCTATATCACAGTTAAAGAAAGTATTATTTTCTGTCATGACAATGCACAAAATTAGAGGTAGGCAAGTTGGTACCATCAGAACAGAACCTTGCCAACTTTTGCACCAGAGTAATAAGATACCTAGTTCTGCTGCACAGATGGCTGGCAGGTGATCCCCCTACACAGTCACCCCAGTGCAGCCACCTCTGTGCCAGACCATCTCCAGGCCCTCACACCAAAAATTCCAGCTGACCTGCTGGGCCCTGTATGCAAAAACACCTTCTGGCCAAACATCAAAAAAATCTAAGAAATAAAACTTAGGAACTCTTCCAGTGGCTCATGAGCAATGGCTCTCACATGCTCAGGATGCTTCCTAGGGGCTTCTAGTTGGAAAATCTGCAGGAGCAGGACTGTAAAAGTGCCCTTTCTTACCAGACACTGAACAGTCCCACTGTACTTCCATTTCAGCAGAACAGCTCCCTCTTACTGATTAATTCATGCTCTTGAGCAAGGAATTTGCTAAGCTAGCATCCCTTCAAATGCAAGTACAGCCTGCAGCCTCTGCTACTGCGTCCAGACCTTCACTGCCTTGCAATTAAGTGCCTTCATATGACCTCAACCTGTAGGTACAGCCCATTACACGACTTCCAGGAATTGTGCTCCTTCCACAGCCTCTGACTGCTCAGCCTTGCCTGATCGGCTCGCACAGGAGTCTGAGTTCT